CTCTTCAATCTCTTTTTTCAGAGTACTGTAGTTTTCAGTTTAGAGATCTTCTGCCTCTTTCATTAGATTGATTCCTAGATACTTCATTTTTTGGATGCTATTGTGAAGGGAACTGTTTCCCTAATTTCTCTCTCATTGAATCTGTTATTTGTGTAAAACAAGGCTATTGATTTTTGAGTGTTGACCTTCTATCCAGCTACTCTGCTAAAAGTGTCAATTAATTCTAGAAGTCTTTTGGTGGAGTTTTTTGGGTCTTCAATGTAGAGTATGCTATCATCAGCAAATAATGACAGTTAAACTTCTTCCTTTCCAATATTCTTTGCTTTAATTTCTTTCTCTTGTCTAATTGCTAAGCCTAATGTTTCTGGAACTGTATCAAAGAGAAGTGGTGATAGTGGGCATCCTTGTCTTGTTGCCGATTTTAACATGAAGTTTTTCAGTTTTGGACCATTTAATATGATGTTGGCTGTTGGTTTTTCATGGATAGCCTTTATTAAATTGAGATATAGACCATGTATTCCAATTTTTTGCAGGGTTTTTATCATGAATGGGTGTTGAATTTTGTCAAATGCTTTTTCTGCATCTATTGAGAGGATCATATGGTTTTTGTCCTTGACTTTGTTAATATAGAGTATTACATTTATTGACTTAGGTATGGTGAACCATACTGGCATCCCTGGAATAAAACCGACTTGGTCAGGATGGATGATCTTTTTGATAATCCTCTGTATTCTGTTTGCTAGAATCATATTAAGGATTTTTGCTTCTATATTCATTAAGGAGACTGGCCTGTAGTTCTCTTTTTTTAGATGGGTCTTTCCCTGGTTTGGGAATCAAAGTGATACTTGCTTCCAGGAATGAGTTTGGAAGTATTGCTTCCCTTTCAATTTCATTGAAAAAGTTGAAGAGTAATGGCAGTAGTTCTTCTCTGAATGTCTTGTAAAATTCAGCTGTGAATCCATCAGGACCTGGGCTTTTCTTTGTTGGTAAATTTTTAATTATATTTTCAATTTCACTGATTGTAATTGGGGTGTTTAAAATGTTTTTATCTTCTTTGTCCAACTTTGGTAATGCAAAAGTATCTAGAAATCTGTCCATTTCTTCTGTGTTTTCCATTTTATTGGAGTACAGGTTCTCAAAGTAGGTATTAATGATTCTCTGGATTTCTGTTGGATCTGTTGTGACTTCGCCTTTTTCATTCCTGATTGCATGGATCTGAGCCTTTGCTTTCCTTTTTTTGATAAGGTTAGCTAAGGGTTTATTAATTTCATTTATTCTTTCAAAAAACCAACTCTTTGATTCATTTATTTTTCTTAATTTCCATTGCATTGATTTCTGCTCTAATCTTTATAATTTCCTCTCTTGTTTTAGCTTTGGGTTTTTCTTGCTGTTGTTTTTCTAGGAGTCTAAAGCTCATCATTAGTTGTTTATTTGGGCTCCCTCTGTTTTCCTAGTGTGGGCATTCAGTGCTATGAATTTTCCATGCAAAACTGCTTTCATTGTGTCACATAGATTCCTGTAGTTGTATTGACATTTTCATTTATTTGTAAATACCGTCTAACTTCTTTAATTTCCTCTATGATCCATTGGTTGTTCGGGAGAGTGTTGTTCAATTTCCATGTGTTTGTGAAGTTCCTATGGTTTCTTATGCTACTGATCTCCAGATTGATTGTGCAATGACCTGATAATATACAGGGAATAACTTCTATTCTTTTGCATTTATTCAAACCTGTTCTGTGAGCTAGTATGTTGTCTATCTTGGAGAATGACCCATGTGCAGCCAAAAAGAATGTATATTATGATTTTGTGGGGTGGAACACTCTATAGATGTCTATTAAGTCCATTTGTTCAAAAGCTTGGTTCAGTTCTAGTATTTTGTTGTTGATTTTTTTGCCTAGATGATCTGTCTGTTTGTGATAGTAGGGTATTTAGGTCCCCCACTACAATTGCATTAGTGCTTCTTTGGCTTTTCATGTTTCTTAATATTTCTTTTATATAGTTGGGGGTATTAATATTTGGTGCATATATGTTTATGATTGTCATCTCTTCCTCTTGACTTGTTCCCTTTACAGGGATGTAGCGGCCTTTTTTGTCTCTTTTAATCAGTTTTTGTTTGAAATTTACTTTGTCTCTGAATAAGATTGCTTTTTTCTGGGCTCCTGTTGCATGGAGAATTGTCTTCCATCCTTTCACTTTCAGTCTATGAGCTTCTTTTTGCACTAGGTGTGTTTCTTGTATACAACATATTGTTGGATTTTGCTTCTTAATCCATTCTGCCAGTCTATTTCTCTTGATTGGTGAATTGAGGCCATTGATATTGATGGTTATAACTGATATGTACTGACCTACTGTCATGTTATTGTCCTTTTGTTGACTCTTTTTTATTTATCTGCCTTCTCCTTTTAGTTTCTTTTCTTGCCTATTTGATTTGCTCTGTTGGGCCTCATGCTGTTGTTACCTTCATTGTCTTTCCTAGGATATTGTTCATAATTCTTTGTAGTTCTGGTTTGGTATTCATGAAGTTTCTCAGGTGTTCTTTGTCTTGGAAGTATCTTATTTCTCCATCCATTTTGAAAAAGAGTTTTGCAGGATACATCAGTCTAGGTTGGAGGTTGTTTTCTTTTAGTACTTGAAATGTCTCATTCCAGGCTCTCCTTGACCTAAGGGTTTGTGTTGAAAAGTCTGCTGTGATTCTGATGGGCTTTCCTTTGCATGTGATTTGTTTCTTTTCTCTTGCTCCTTGTAGTATTTTCTTCTTCTATTGGATTTCTGGGATCTTAACTATTATATGTCTAGATGTCGATTTTTTTGATAGTGGCTAGTTGGAGTCCTATATGCCTCACTTATCTGTATGTCAAATTCTTCCCCTCTGGGAAGTTTTCTGTCATTAATTCTGTGAACAGCTTTTTAAAATCATTTGTATTTTCTCTTGCTACTTCATTGATTCCTATCAGTCTTATGTTATTTTTCTTTGCATCATCTAGGAGTTGTTGGATCGATTTCTCATGATCACCTACTGTTTTTAAGAGACCTCTCTTTTCATGGTCACTAACTTCAATCTTATCTTCTATATCTGAGATTCTACCTTCACATTCTTTTATTGTGTTGTGAACACTTTCAATAGAGTTTTTAATCTCCTGGTATCTGTTTGAATCTGTTTTATGGATTCCATTTCTTTCTTATGTTGGGCATTTATTGTTTCCATTTCTTTCTTATGCTGGACCTTCATGGCTTCTATCACGACCCTGAGCTCATCTATTTTTTTGTCAGTTTCTGTTCTAGAGTCTCAAATAATGACTCTCATTTTGCTCACCATCTCTATGGTTATCTGAGAAATTATTTCTGTTTTGAATTTTTCTAGAGCCTGATTGAGTTCGGAGTGTCCTGGTGGTTCACTATCAGACGTTTCATCCTCATTTGCCCTACTTTTTGCCATTGGTGAACTGGAAGTCTGTCTTTGTGTCTTGCTTAAGTGTTTTCTCATTTTTATTTTTGTTTTTGGGTTGTCCTTAGTTTAATTTTGGGGTAATTACTTAAATCTTCCTGATATAGTTGCACTTTAGCTTTGGGTCTCTAATGACTCATAGACATTCTCATTTTCATAATATCAGAGAAAACAGCTCATTAAATCAATCACAATCCTTTATCCCAGTTGATACAATCAGCAACACAATATGATCAAGCACAACTTGCAAACTGACCACTTGTGGTAGTCATTATTCTATCACCTTCCTTGCGCTGGAGCAATGGTGGTGGCACAGACAGGGGAGGGTACAGCTACCTGGTCCCACAGATTGGGGCCAAGCAGGCCAGAGGGAGAGCAGATCTTGGAGCAGCCTTCCCAAATCTCACCTTCCTTGTGCTGGAGAAAAGTGAGGATTTTGAAGAATAATCTGTTAGGAAAAAAATTTATTTTTTTGGTAGTTTACAGTCTTGTCTCTAAGGAACAGGGTTTTCCTGGGCCATGTAACAAGTCATTTGTTTGCTGAGCTTTAGGGGTAGTTGTCAGTGTTAATCAACTTACAGACAGGAAAGTATGCATGACGTCAGTATTGCTTAATACAGAGATGGGGAATTATATGTTTTATTAGTCCTGGGAGGATTTCCATGAAACTGTGCAATTGACACCTTTCTCTCACATTTCTCTAGGTATCTTGGTAACATCTACATTGCGCACAAATGCTTGCCAGATGCTTTCTCTGATGGCTCTAAGTCAGGCTGTGTGCCTTTTTTCTGGGTTTGTGTAGTTCTCAGAGATATATGTTTGAGCATATAATGATTCCTTTGAGAATGTGGAATCTGAGACATACTAGAGAGGGAGGAAGGATACACAAAGTTTGAGTAAGTTGGGCTACTTCAAACACTAACAGATCTAACTTATACCTCTGGAGAGCAGTTAGGAATGTGAATGAGATGTCTCAGGGCAATGAAAGAAGAGTTATAGCAGCCATACCTCTCAAGCATGTCTCACAGGTCCTGCCCTGTGCTACATGGTCTCAGGTGAGATTTCTACTAGCCTTGGGATGACAGGAAAAGCAGGCAGGCACAAATCTCTCCCAGGAGAAAGCCTGCTTCTTTACCATGTGCTAGGTGTGAGGACGTGGGGAGGATGTCTGTACTCTTCCAAGAGCATCTTCTGGCCTGCATTGTGGCACTCACCTGGGCCCAACTTGCTGTCTTGCTTCCTACCCTTCTGATCTACTCCTGCCCATGGACGGTGCTGGCACCTCCTGCCAGCTAGAGCCTCTGGGACCCAGATCTCTAGCTCCCTGCTGCTGATCTCAGCTCCTCTGAGAAGGGGCTTCCTACCTGCCTCTACCAGGATGAGGCCAATGTCATCCACACAGGCAGCTGCAATACAAGCAAACTTCTTTCTTTGGCTCATTTTGAAGGTTCCCAGTATAATTCCATGTATTGCTAGTGTTTTAAAATTCTCTTCTTCTCCTTCTTCTTCTTCTTCTTCTTCTTCTTCTTCTTCTTCTTCTTCTTCTTCTTCTTCTTCTTCTTCTTCTTCTTCTTCTTCTTCTTCTTCTTCTTCAAAAACAGGAAAAAAAAACACCTGAAACACTGATGCTAGGAATTTCCTTTCCTAGTGATGAGAAAATTATTCCCTTAAATGATTTTATTCTTAGAGACTCTTAAATTTCATTCTTTAAAGAAATCAGCAGACCAGAGAGAGAGAATAACTGGTAAGAGAAAAGTATTGTCAGTGAGCACTGCTCTGGAGGGATAACTTCAGCAGAAAGTGTGGGGAACAAGATCAGATTCAAAATCCTCAGACTTGACCATGAGTAAAGATACCACGACCTTTAGCAGAAAGTGGTCGAGGTGCTTTGTTTGAACCAAAGCAACCCCAAATCATCCCTCTACTCTTGCCCTGCCTTGACCCAGTTTGTAACTTCTTACAAATCATCATATGTCAGAATCCTCAAATTCCATAGTTAACTCAAAAAAGCAGAAGAAATCTTTCTGTGGGTAATATAACTGTGGGTTTAGTGACACTCGTGATCATTTGCAAAACCACATATGGTACCATGCACACAAAAGTCACTTTTCAAGACATACTTGTCAGTTTTCTGCTCTCTGTCACAAAATGGCTCATTTTTTCCAAAGATTGGATACTTGTGGATACATTTCTGGAATGGGTCTGATAAACTCTATACCCAGCACCTTCCCAAAATGGAGGTCTATTAGCTGCCACTTTGAGAAGGTTTGTTAATCAGTCCCTATCATAGACATCCATGCAGTTCTCCACTTTAGTATCCTTAGCAGAAACCAAGCCACGGCCCTCACCTATTGTTTGTTTTGAAACCAAGGCCAGTTTCTGCACCCTTTTTTAAGGTACTGAAATTTTACACAGTTGTCCTTACCAAGTTTTGCCTCTGTCCTGGCAAATGCTCTCCACTCCATTCATAGATGATGTGCTGCAGAGAGATCCATTTCTTTCTGGTCAGTCATGACTTTAGCATTGTCATTAAGTCTGTTTTTGTAGCTAAAAGATCAATGGTAAGGTGTATTTGGCAATTAATGTTTTCAAGGCTGAATCTCACAAACAAATAATTTTATAAAATGGCAGTCTAGTTCAGTGAACCATGTATCTAATACACCATGCAAAAAGCTTTACAAATCATTTTGCATTCCCAGTAAAATAGCTGTTGGTTCTGTACAAATAACTCCACAGTGGCACAGCTAAATGACTTCTTTTGTTGTTGAAGTGAAGCAGTTTCATAAAGGTAACTGATTTTTAGCAGATGCATTTCAAGTTCAATAATAAAAATGGATGAGATGGACAAAGGAAACATTACTATGGTTTTTACTCGAGGTTCTCTAGAGAATAAGAACCAATAGGATGTACTTACATGTGAATATATACACACATATAAGTGTATATATGGACTTTTTTTTTAGAATTTTAAGGATTGGCTTACTTAACTGAGGCAGGATTTCTATGTTAGAGACAGGAGGCCAAATTCTTTCTCCAGGAAACTGCAACTGATTACATGAGGCCCACCCATAGTATTTTTTTTTTCTCATTGAGTTTATTGGTACATTTTAGGTACACAGTACAGTTATATTCATTATTGGGATCTTGTACCTTTACATGACAGGTCTTGGTTCTCACTTTTTCCCCTTGTCCCTGCCCTCCCTTTGCCCCTTCCTCCCCTCCCCCTTTACAAACACTTAATTTCCATTTTTTCATTTTCTCATATTTTTTCTTTTCCCTTGTTAGCTTTCCCCTACCCTTCCCACTTCCCCTACACCTTTAGCTCCTTTCTTCCTATTTCACACTATCAATTATATCATTAGGATCTTATGTACCATTATAGTTTATTCACACCAGAGAACACCCATAGTATTTTTAAATTAATCTTTTTCCTCAAAAAGAAAATAGACTGAGGGTTTAGCTCAGTGGTGCCATAGCCTACCTCACAAGCACAAGATCCTGAGTTCAATCCCAGGTACCAAAACTAAATAAAATAAAATATACTATAATTAATTAATTAATTAATCTCCTTTACTTAAACTCAACTGATTGCACACATTAATCATATCTAAAATATAGTGTCTAAGTAATCCCTAGACCAGTGTTTGATTAAATAACTAAGTGATACAGCCTAGCTCACTTGACATACAAAACAGTCACAGTATGACAGTCCTTATGAGTCCATAGCATTATCAACAGCAAAGACTTCCCCAGAATGGAGAGGACATGAGTACAACACTGAGCACCTAGCTCCTCCTGGGCAAAAGGATTTCCAGTGGGAGAAATGGACAGTCACGGAAACTGCACAAATATACCCATATTATAGACACACATGCTGTGCAGACACACATGTAAGTCCAAGACCCAGTCCTACTCAACCATTGATTTCAGTCTTTTGTGCATTTTTCTAATCAAAACTAGCTAGTGTTTGTCTTAATTAAATCATACCACATTGATGGAAAGTGATAAAAAATCTCAAATTACACAAATTTAAATTTTGCCCAAGAGGCACACATTTTCTGCTGTCAGGATAGAATGCTATTTTTAACTTGACAGCAATATCAAAAATAATTTTGAAATAACTTCTGATTCATCAACTTACTGAATATTCTTCCTGGCTGTTCTAATGGCTTTACCACATTAAAGAGCTATAAGTAAGAAGGTGAAAATGAATGACAAAGAAGTTGCTAAAACTAAAAATCATTTTTATTCTAATGTCCATATTTCTTTTATATCCTGGTTTCACTTCTTTTTTATTCCTTTATGTTTAAAAAAAGTAAATTGTCCTTACACCATTAGAACTCTCAGAGCCAGGTCTCCCTGCCTGCACATGCATGTTTTGTGTAGCATTCATTGTGACAGTAAGATGTGGAAATAGAGGAGGTGCCCATCAACAGATGAGCAGATGAAGAAACTGTGACGGATAAACACAATGAAGGAAACTTCAGCAGAGAAGAAAACCAAAATCACATTATTTACAGGAAGATGGATAGAAGACATCGTGTTAGGCGTGTTAAGCAAAATAAGCTAGACACACAAGTATTGCATATTGTCTTTCATATGTAGAAATTTTTAAAAAGTGACCTGAAAATAGAGGAGGGATTTTAAGCAAAGGGGACCAGGCTGAGAGAGATGAAGGGTGGGCAAGGCAGGGGAGGACAGCAGGGATAGTGGACACAGTCAAAGCATGAGGACGTATGTCAACATCATAGTGAAATCCCTTAATGTGTGTAGTTAATACATGTTAATCCTTATAATGACTTTTTAAAAAACGAAAACTTCTGAGGGCCTTGTGTTTCATTTTAGAAGGGAATCCCTGATTCTGAGCTTTACAATGATTACTTTGTGTCAAGTCGGTTGGCAGTGGTGCCCGGTAGCCAGACCCAGCATCAGTCCAGATGTGGCCATGAAAGTGCACATGGGTGCAACTAACACTTAACTCAGTGGATGACCCACATGACATGAGGACATGAATACGACACTGAGCCCCTAGCATTCTACCAGGCCCAGGCTAGAAGAGCCAAGACTGTGGTTTCCCAATCTCCTCCTCCAAACCTTGCAAGACTGCAGCCCATAAACCTTGCCTGAGCTCCAGCCTGATGCCCTGCAGAACCCAAGCTCAGGACTGCAGCACAGCTGGAATTAAATTTCTAGCCTGCCACTCTGCCTCACCAATGTCTGGCTGGCTGGCCTCCAGAATGGTGAGAGCCAGTTCCGATCCATCACCGAAAAGATCAGTGTGCCCGCACTTGTGTGTGTTTGCTATTTTCCTGGTGAACTTTAACCAATACATAGTTTCTTCCTCAATTTTTACACAGGTATTTTAGATAAGAGATACAAATTCTCATAACAAGTCTTCTTTTTGTAGCTCTTTTTCCATTAAGTAGGTCATTTATTTCAGGGGGGAGCTGTCCCTTAAGTTTTAAGCTAAAAAATATGGCGATAATTTAGTTTACTTTGGCCCCTCAGAAAACCACATACCTGCTCATTCAAAGACTGCAGTTGACAAGACTAGCTACACTCTGATCACCTCCCAAATTCTGTTTCTTTACTGCCCAGAACTTGTTAGTGAATGGACACTGGCCAGGCTACATGGGTACCAGGTGTTCAACATAAAACCCGAATGCTCATGCCTGGAAGGAGCAAAGATTTGCTGTGGTGTAACTAGGAAACCAAAATAATACTGCATCTTGGGCTGTCCATTGTGACTGCTAAGGATCATTCCATTATCACACATTCTTAGTGCCCTCTTCTGTGGAGCTATTCAATCGATTGCCCTTTGTCTAATGAACAATCTGAGAATTACCATGGTTGAAGAACAGAGAAAAAGCAGAGCAGACTTTTAATGATATGAGCATGAGTCTCTTGTGAGGCTGCTTTATTGATAAAGTTTTGCTCAAACGGGTAAGACTGGCCTTGTTGCTAAGGTAACCTGCCTTCAGGAATAGCAGATCTATTTATCATTCCAGCCAGTGGCCTCTCAATTTAATAAAGAGAAAAATAAATATAGTTGCAGAGCCATATCAGAAAGAAAGTATCAAAATAAAACCTAGAAAGGCAACATATAATGCTGGGATGGTGGGTGTTGGGTTTGAAGGCTGGAATTTAATGTGTTGTTTTCCCCAGCGGGTGGAGAACTCTGGGATACACCAGATACATAAGGATTATATTATTTTTCCACTCTCTTCTACCTCTGTGATCTTACTTCTCGTCACTGACTTTATTCTCACCTCTCCAGCCTCCCAGGACTCTGAGCCACTTCTCAAACATGCCACTGTAGCTCCTGTCTCAGTTCTACATGTGCTGTTTTGTCTGTCTGGAAACCTCACCCGCTAGACATCCCATAAGTCCTCCATTCAGAGAATCCTTCCCTCGATACTACTTTTCACTCAGACCCCTGCCATACCCACCACCGGAGTTCTCTATCGTGTTACCCTGTTGAATTTTTTCGGAGCATTTATCACCACATGGCATTAATTATGCACTTAGTATTTATCCTCAGTCTCCTTGCTGGCATTAAAGCTCCATGAAGGGTGGAGCGGGGCTGTCTCGCCATTGCTTTACCCTCGGCATCTTAAACAGTACCTTGCTTCTTCTACACACAAATCATTTGCTAATGAAAGAAGTCTTGCTCGCAATCTTTAAAACTCCAGTTAGGAAGATAAAATGTAGATAGCAGATTCCAGCAGAGGTTCTGCCAACTGGAGATTGTCACACAAAATTAGGTGGTGGCAAGAGCAGAAAGCTTTTCTTTCTGGGGTTCAGCAGTCTCTGCGGGCCCAGGAGGGTGTGCATCAGCTGGGCACAGCTGGACACACACTCCTGAAGAGCTGGCAGCCGGCTCCTGCAGGGCCTGACCTCTGAAAAGACCACTCCCCCTCCTGCACCTCCAGCCATCTCAACAATTTTGCTGCCTTCACTCCCCATGCTAAGAGCCTCTGTGCTGCAAATGTCTTTTTATTTTCCTGACTGACCACAAGCTGAGATCCACCTACTTCTTATCATATCAGTTCTAGCCTTTGATAATTAATTAATATACCCAATTAAATGCAAATTTAATTCCTAGTCTTTGATTTATATTCTAATTTCTAAGTCTTGTCTGATGGGCAAGAAAGCTACACAGTAACCACCCTCCAGAAGGTTCCACCGCAATTCTTCCTCCACAACGCTCATCTACTCTCTCTCTGAATTCCCAAATCCATACATACAGTATAGGCCGTACTGCATAGCTTCGTGCTTGGTTCCCTACTGTCCTATCTTAATCCACACTTTTCCCTTAAATACAATTTCCAATCTCCAGTTTGATTTTATGTTCAGATGGCAAGCCTTGGAGCTCTTACTTTCATCTCTGGTAATACCTATGACGGTCTGGGCCTTTCGTCAGAAATCAGTATGTGCACAAGTGTCAATTTCACTTGAGAGGGATAAGAGAGAGTAGTTCTCACACCGGTGAGGGTGAGCAATGCAATGGCCAGGCACTGATTCAGCATCCTGTCTTTCTGATCTGT